GTTGAGGTATCCGCCCATACCTACACGCCCTAAATGGAGTATTGGTCCTTGACTTCAGATACACCCCCTGCTGGGGAACTACAAAATAGGCTGTCAGGCCTAAGAGAAAAAAGTTGAAGGCGTCTCCCATTTTAACATCAATACCACCTGGGGAGACCCGTGCCTTTTGCTCTGAAACTTGAATCTGCTAACCCAGGACTTTGGCAAGTACCTTAACCCTTTCACCTCTCTCTGATATCTCTTTGCTGTGCTGTTAGCCTCTGTATATTTATATACATATATATATATATATTTAACACATGTTTTGCTGATACACATGTTTATTCCCTTTGTGTGTATTGGGACAAAACAAAAAAAAGGGGGAGGAAAGAAAGCAAATTCGACATAATGTCACACAAACCTCCAAAAATGGGCTGGACAAAAGTATTGGCACCCTTTCACAACTGCGGATAAATAAGAATGTTACAAGCATGTGATGCTCCTGTAAACTCACCTGGGGCAAGTAACAGGTGTGGGCAATATAGAAATCACACCTGAAAGCAGATAAAAAGGAGAGACGTTCACTTAACCTTTGCATTGTGTGTCTGTCTGTGCCACACATAAGCATGGACAACAGAAAGAGGAGACGAGAACTGTCTGAGGACCTGAGAACCAAAATTGTGGCAAAATATCAACAATCTCAAGGTTACAAGTCCATCTCAGAGAGAACTAGATTTGCCTTTGTCCACAGTGCGCAACATTATCAAGAAGTTTGCAACCCATGGCACTGTAGCTAATCTCCCTGGTCGTGGACGGATGAGGAAAATTGATGAAAGATTGCAACGCAGAATAGTCCGGATGGTGGATAAGCAGCCCCAAACATGTTCCAAAGACATTCAAGCTGTCCTGCAGGCTCAGGGAGCATCAGTGTCAGCGCGAACTATCCGTCGACATTTAAATGAAATGAAACGCTATGGCAGGAGACCCAGGAGGACCCCACTGCTGACACAGAGACATAAAAAAGCAAGACTACAGTTTGCCAAAATGTACTTGAGTAAGCCAAAAGCCTTCTGGGAAAACGTCTTGTGGACAGATGAGACCAAGATAGAGCTTTTCGGTAAAGCACATCATTCTACTGTTTACCGAAAACGGAATGAGGCCTACAAAGAACAAAACACAGTACCTACGGTAAAATATGGTGGAGGTTCAATGATGTTTTGGGGTTGTTTTGCTGCCTCTGGCACTGGGTGCCTTGACTGTGTGCAAGGCATCATGAAATCTGAGGATTACCAAAGGATTTTGGGTCGCACTGTAGGGCCCAGTGTCAGAAAGCTGGGTTTGCGTCCAAGATCCTGGGTCTTCCAGCAGGACAATGACCCCAAACATACGTCAAAAAGCACTCAGAAATGGATGGCAAAGAAGCGCTGGAGAGTTCTGAAGTGGCCAGCAATGAGCCCAGATCTAAATCCCATTGAACACCTGTGGAGAGATCTTAAAATTGCTGTTGGGGAAAAGGTTGTCCTTCCAATAAGAGAGACCTGGAGCTGTTTGCAAAGGAAGAGTGGTCCAAAATTCCGGGTGAGAGGTGTCAGAAGCTTATTGATGGTTATAGGAAGCGACTGATTTCAGTTATGTTTTCCAAAGGGTGTGCAACCAAATATTAAGTTAAGGGTGCCAATACTTTTGTCCAGCCCATTTTTGGGGTTTTGTGTGACATTATGTCATATTTGCTTTTCTGCCTCTGTTTTATATTTGTTCCAATACATACAAAGGGAATAAACATGTGTATAGCAAAACATGTGTTAATGCAATACCTTTTTTGTGTGAAATACTTGATTTTCAGGAAAAATATCAAGGGTGCCAACAATTTCGGCCATGACTGTATATATCTTAGTTACATCTTTTTCTGTAAATATTTTTATTGCACCCATTTGACCTTTTAGTAATAAATCTTTCCTTCTGAAAGTGTTGAACTGTTTCTATAGTGCTTTATTGCAATTTACGAATTCCTGCCTCCAAAGAGAACGCTACAGTGTTTGTTTAACCCTCTGTATAACCGTGTTATACAGACGATTACCTCAACCATTATAGTGTTATAACTGATATCGCCGAGTTTCCTCTTTCTCTGTACAAAAAGGAGGTGGTGGCAGTGTGAAAGGTTAATTGCGTAATTAACCTGACCCAGTAACAATCGCTCAGGCTGCCAGTACATTGATTGTGGTCTAAGTAGCTGGAAAATCGTTGTGCAGGGTGCAGCTGGGTGTGGCATTGTCGCACACGTGACATCGCGGTTTTAGATCGGCTAGTCCTTCGGTCACAAGTTTGGTGAGAAGGTCTGGGGTCTGACGCTGCGATCGTGACATATTGGCTGGCAGCATACGTGGAATAGTTGCATTAAGAGCTTCAGTGCAGTGTTAAAAAATTGGCTCTGCACTGAAGGATTGTAACTAGAGATGAGCAAAGTATTCAAAAATTCGATTCGGCTGATTCGGCGAATTCGAGGAATAAATTAGATTCGATGCGAATATATTCACTGCGAATTTAACCTATAAAAAGGGTTTCTAGGCTGCAGAGAGCCTTTATATTAGTGCAGAACACTGTACCTTTAATTTAAATGCCCTTGGAGTCTGCTGGGGAAGAGAAATAATACTGTCAGTCAGTATGACATGCAGATGAGTGCCGTCGTCGATCTTAGAATCACCGCACACTTCACTCATTTGGGCAGTCACGGGGCCCAAAACCAGAGTGTGGAGCCACAGTGTGGCGGTGGAGGCAGCAGCAATGGGAGGCCATACAGCACCCTATGACAAAATGGAACCCACCAGCAGTGTGAGGAGACCTGAAAGTGGCACATGGCAGAGTGTGGCGATGGAGACAGCAGCAATGGGAGGCCGTACAGGGACCCATGAGACACTCTGGACCTGGCAGCAGCATGAGGAGGCGGTACGGGGGCCCATGGCAGATTACGGGCCTGGCAGCAGCAATGGGAGGCCCGTAATCTGCCAGCACCCTATGACAAAATGGAACCCACCAGCAGTGTGAGGAGACCTGAAAGTGGCACATGGCAGAGTGTGACGATGGAGACAGCAGCAATGGGAGGCCGTACAGGGACCCATGACACACTCTGGACCTGGCAGCAGCATGAGGAGGCGGTACGGGGGCCCATGGCAGATTACGGGCCTGGCAGCAGCAATGGGAGGCCCGTAATCTGCCAGCACCCTATGACAAAATGGAACCCACCAACAGTGTAAGGAGACCTGAAAGTGGCACATGGCAGAGTCTGGCGATGAAGTCAGCAGCAATGGGAGGGCCGTACAGGGACCCATGACACACTCTGGACCTGGCAGCAGCAAGAGGAGGCGGTACAGGGGCCCATGGCAGAGTGGCGAAGCGTAAGCAGCTTAAAATGAAGGCCATACAGAGGCCTATGTTAAAAATAATAACATGTTTGGGGCATGATTCATGGCGGATTTAGTCAGTTGTGTCAGGAACTGGTGGTTTGAAATCCAGACTAATCCACGCCTGATTCATTTTCACAAACGTGAGTCTCTCCACACTTTGGGTGGACAGTCGTGTCCCCCGCGGAGTTACAATACCTCCTGCCGCACTAAACACGCGCTCCGATGCCACGCTACTGGCCGGGTATGACAGCCTTTCAAGGGCAAATTCAGCTAGTTGGGGCCAAAGGTCAAGTTTCGTTGCCCAGTAGTCAAGGGGATTGTCTACCTCGGTTGGCAGGGTGCTGTCCAAGTAGGCCCGAGCCTGTTGTTTGAGAGTCCTGCTCCAGGTCCACCTGATGCTGCTGCTGCTGCGGCTGGTTAGTAGTTTCCTCACTGCGCTGGTGAAGAAAGCTACTCATCATCGACTGCAGACTGAGGCAGCTGCTGCTGGTGGAGCTGCCACTGCTCCTACCACCCCACCCCTCCCCTGCTGCCATGGCAGCGGAACGCGAGCGCACAGGGCCCACAGTGTCTGAGGATGGACGTTGGCGCAGAAAGGCAGAGACCAACTGACTACATAGGTGGTTTTTATAGTACGTTATTTTGGCCTCCCTCTCAGCAGGTGTGAAAAAGGCCACCATTTTTGACGGTAGCGAGGGTCCAACAAGGTGGACAGCCAAAAGTCATCCCTCTGTCTGATGGTTATTATTCGGCTGTCGCTACGCAAGCAACCGAGCATGCTATGGGCCATTTGTGCCAAGGAATGCGAGGGACTCCCTGCCTCCATCTCCACAGCATACTGCCACGGTGCGTCTGGGTCCTCTGTCTCCTCCTCCTCCTCTACCAGATGCTCCTGCTCCTCCACTCCTGTCCGCTGAGTGGAAAAACCACCCATTTCACTCAATAATTCCTGAGCACCAATGTCCTCCTCTACCTCCTCCTCTTCTTCCTGTCCTGCCCCCACAGGGGTCATGTGGCGTTGAGATCTGTGCGCCACGTCTACCGCACCCTGACCAGCCATTGTTAACAGCATTTGTTCCAGGACGTGCAAACAGAGGAATGACGTCGTTCATCCCATAGTCCTGCCGACTCACGAATAGCGTGGCCTCCTCAAAGGGCCTGAGCAAGCGGCAGGTGTCACGCATGAGCTGCCAATGACTGACATCTAAGTTACACAGGGGAGTACCTTTATCCGCTTGTAACATCAGGAAATCGGTGATGGCCTTTCGCTGTTCGTAAAGGCGGTTAACATATGTAGGGTTGAATTCCACCTTGTTGCAACGTCACAGCATGAGGAGTCGGTACGGGGGCCCATGGCAGATTAAGGGCCTGGCAGCAGCAATGGGAGGCCCGTAATCTGCCAGCACCCTATGACAAAATGGAACACACCAGCAGTGTGAGGAGACCTGAAAGTGGCACATGGCAGAGTGTGGCGATGGAGACAGCAGCAATGGGAGGCCGTACAGGGACCCATGAGAGACTCTGGACCTGGCAGCAGCATGAGGAGGCGGTACAGGGGCCCATGGCAGATTAAAGGCCTGGCAGCAGCAATGGGAGGCCCGTAATCTGCCAGCACCCTATGACAAAATGGAACACACCAGCAGTGTGAGGAGACCTGAAAGTGGCACATGGCAGAGTGTGGCGATGGAGACAGCAGCAATGGGAGGCCGTACAGGGACCCATGAGACACTGTGGACCTGGCAGCAGCATGAGGAGGCGGCGCTACAGGGGCCCATGGCAGATTACGGGCCTGGCAGCAGCAATGGGGAAGCCCGTAATCTGCCAGCACCCTATGACAAAATGGAACACACCAGCAGTGTGAGGAGACCTGAAAGTGGCACATGGCAGAGTGTGGCGATGGAGACAGCAGCAATGGGAGGCCGTACAGGGACCCATGAGAGACTCTGGACCTGGCAGCAGCATGAGGAGGCGGTACAGGGGCCCATGGCAGATTACGGGCCTGGCAGCAGCAATGGGAAGGCCCGTAATCTGCCAGCACCCTATGACAAAATGGAACACACCAGCAGTGTGAGGAGACCTGAAAGTGGCACATGGCAGAGTGTGGCGATGGAGACAGCAGCAATGGGAGGCCGTACAGGGACCCATGAGACAGCACTCGTGGACCTGGCAGCAGCATGAGGAGGCGGTACAGGGGCCCATGGCAGATTACAGGCCTGGCAGCAGCAATGGGAGGCCCGTAATCTGCCAGCACCCTATGACAAAATGGAACACACCAGCAGTGTGAGGAGACCTGAAAGTGGCACATGGCAGAGTGTGGCGATGGAGACAGCAGCAATGGGAGGCCGTACAGGGACCCATGAGAGACTCTGGACCTGGCAGCAGCATGAGGAGGCGGTACAGGGGCCCATGGCAGATTACAGGCCTGGCAGCAGCAATGGGAGGCCCGTAATCTGCCAGCACCCTATGACAAAATGGAACACACCAGCAGTGTGAGGAGACCTGAAAGTGGCACATGGCAGAGTGTGGCGATGGAGACAGACAGCAGCAATGGGAGGCCGTACAGGGACCCATGAGACACTGTGGACCTGGCAGCAGCATGAGGAGGCGGTACAGGGGCCCATGGCAGATTACAGGCCTGGCAGCAGCAATGGGAGGCCCGTAATCTGCCAGCACCCTATGACAAAATGGAACCCACCAGCAGTGTGAGGAGACCTGAAAGTGGCACATGGCAGAGTGTGGCGATGGAGACAGCAGCAATGGGAGCCGTACAGGGACCCATGAGAGACTCTGGACCTGGCAGCAGCATGAGGAGGCGGTACAGGGGCCCATGGCAGATTACAGGCCTGGCAGCAGCAATGGGAGGCCCGTAATCTGCCAGCACCCTATGACAAAATGGAACACACCAGCAGTGTGAGGAGACCTGAAAGTGGCACATGTTTGGGGCATGATTCATGGCGGATTTAGTCAGTTGTGTCAGGAACTGGTGGTTTGAAATCCAGACTAATCCACGCCTGATTCATTTTCACAAACGTGAGTCTCTCCACACTTTGGGTGGACAGTCGTGTCCTCCGCGGAGTTACAATACCTCCTGCCGCACTAAACACGCGCTCCGATGCCACGCTACTGGCCGGGCATGACAGCCTTTCAAGGGCAAATTCAGCTAGTTGGGGCCAAAGGTCAAGTTTCGTTGCCCAGTAGTCAAGGGGATTGTCTACCTCGGTTGGCAGGGTGCTGTCCAAGTAGGCCCAAGCCTGTTGTTTGAGGTCCTGCTCCAGGTCCACCTCATGACTCCTGCTGCGGCTGGTTAGTAGTTTCCTCACTGCGCTGGTGAAGAAAGCTACTCATCATCGACTGCAGACTGTGGCAGCCGCTGCTGGTGGAGCTGCCACTGCTCCTACCACCCCACCCCTCCCCTGCTGCCATGGCAGCGGAATGCGAGCGCACAGGGCCCACAGTGTCTGAGGATGGACGTTGGCGCAGAAAGGCAGAGACCAACTGACTACATAGGTGGTTTTTATAGTACGTTATTTTGGCCTCCCTCTCAGCAGGTGTGAAAAAGGCCACCATTTTTGAACGGTAGCGAGGGTCCAACAAGGTGGACAGCCAAAAGTCATCCCTCTGTCTGATGGTTATTATTCGGCTGTCGCTACGCAAGCAACCGAGCATGCTATGGGCCATTTGTGCCAAGGAATGCGAGGGACTCCCTGCCTCCATCTCCACAGCATACTGCCACGGTGCGTCTGGGTCCTCTGTCTCCTCCTCCTCCTCCTCTACCAGATGCTCCTGCTCCTCCACTCCTGTCCGCTGAGTGGAAAAACCACCCATTTCACTCAATAATTCCTGAGCACCAATGTCCTCCTCTACCTCCTCCTCTTCTTCCTGTCCTGCCCCCACAGGGGTCATGTGGCGTTGAGATCTGTGCGCCACGTCTACCGCACCCTGACCAGCCATTATTAACAGCATTTGTTCCAGGACGTGCAACAGAGGAATGACGTCGTTCATCCCATAGTCCTGCCGACTCACGAATAGCGTGGCCTCCTCAAAGGGCCTGAGCAAGCGGCAGGTGTCACGCATGAGCTGTCAATGGCTGACATCGAAGTTACACAGGGGAGTACCTTTATCCGCTTGTAACATCAGGAAATCGGTGATGGCCTTTCGCTGTTCGTAAAGGCGGTCTAACATGTGTAGGGTTGAATTCCACCTTGTTGCAACGTCGCAGATCAGGCGATGCTGTGGAATTCCGTTCTGCCGCTGCAGCTCAAGGAGGGTGTGCTTTGCGGTGTAGGAATGGCTGAAATGCATGCAAAGTTTACGTGACATTTTAAGGATGTCTTGCAGTGGGATGGTGGATTTTAGGAACCGCTTGACAACCAGATTGAACATGTGAGCCATGCATGGCGCATGGCACAACCTTCCTTGACGCAGAGCAGACACCATGTTCTTTCCGTTGTCGGTCAACATGGTTCCGATTTTCAGTTTGCGCGGAGACAGCCATCTGTTGATTTCTCTGTTCATTACACTCAGAAGTTCCTCCCCTGTGTGACTACGTTCACCAAGGCATACCAGGTGCAGCACAGCGTGACACCGTTGCGCCCTGCACATGTGATATGCCGGTCGGGTAATGGGACTTGGCACGGGGGTGGCGGCTGAGGACACGGCGGAAGAAGAGGTGGTAGAGGCGGACATCTTTGCCGGACCAAGAACGTGCAAACGTGGAGGCAAAAGCGGCGTGACCTGTCCAAGTTGCTGGTGCGGCTGTGCCGGCACCACGTTCACCCAGTGGGCCGTAAATGACATGTACTGTCCCTGACCGTAGTTACAGCTCCACACGTCGGCGCTGCCGTGCACTTTGGCAGGAGACCGACATGCTCAAAGACTGGCCCACCATCTCTTCTACATGTGAATGCAGGGCTGGCACTGCCTTTTTGGAGAAGAAATGCCGGCTTGGCACTCTCCACCGCGGCGCGGCACAAGCCATCATTTCTCAGAAAGGTGCTGAGTCCACCACTTGGAAAGGGAGGGACTGCAGCACCAGCAACTTGGACAGGAGGACGTTCAGCTTCTGCACCGTCGGGTGCGTGCTCGCAAACTGTTGTCTCTTGGAAACGGATTCCAAGAAAGACTGCTGACGGAATCCGTGAAGAGGAGTAGCAGGAGAAGGAGCATCTGAACGAGCGGAAGATGCCAACGAGCGACAACTCCCCTCAGCAGAGGTGTTGGAGCCTTGACTGGCTGATAGAGGGTGATTGACGTCGGGTGACGGAGCAAGTAACGGAGTGGGTGATGGAGCGGGGGCTGGGGCAGGCAGAACCGCCGTATCTTTATTACGGTTTTCCCAGGCCACCAAATTGCGACGCTGCATATGCTGCCGCAACGCTGTAGTCCCAACATGGGCCCCCTGGCCACGCTTGACTTTCTGGCCACATAGTCGACATACGGCTACGTTTACTTCTTCGGGCGGCTTGACGAAAAATTGTCACACCGCCGAGTAGGAAACTTTGCCCCCGCTACTCCTCACTGGCTGACTGCTACTTCCTCCGTGCACATTGGCACCACTACTGGCCGTGGTGGTAGGCTGCAGTGGAGCTGGTGCTCTACTGCGTGGCCGTTTGCCTCCACTGACACTGCTGCGACCCTGCTGCCTCCTGGGCAACCCACCGACTGTTTTGCTCGCTGCCAAGCTGGCACCCTCTTCTCCCGATGATGCGGAAGCAATAGCCTGATGACGACGAGGCTGCCAAGTGCGATCAGCCTCATCATCATCAATTAGGGTCTCCGCCTCACTACTAGCCCCCTCGGCTGCGTGTGGGTCAGGAGACAGACCTGTCTCTAGACCGGCTACCAAGCCACTCTCCTCGCCAGTACTTCTTCGCCTGGCTGCTGAAGAGGCGGATGTCTCCCCCCGTTCCTGACCGCCCTCTGTTAGCTCTTCCTCACTGTACAGTGGGGCTGAGCCCACAGCATGCGATACTTCGCTTGGTGAGGGAACACCAAAGGACAGGGGCAGGTAGAGGACACGTGATTTCAGTGGGCTTGCTCCCGGGCCATGCCAACTAACGGTTGTGTCTGACGTACCCACCGACCGTTGGCTGTAGGTGTCAGAGGTGACCTGGGAAGAGGAAGACGACCGAGCCAACCAATCGATGACGGCAGGGTTGTCGGTGGAGACACGACCGCTGGATGACACCGGGAGCAATGGCCTCTGGCTGCGACTAGTGCTGCCTCGACCCCTTCCTCTGCTGCCACGTCTGCACGCTCCTAAAACATTGCCTCCTCTGCCACTCCTCTGCATGTTGTCTTACATACTCTTTAATTCAACGATTATGTGTCCCTGAGTAACAATTCTGTGTCCCTGAGTAACAATTCTGTGTCTGTCCCTGAGTAACAATTCTGTGTCCCTGAGTAACAATTATGTGTCCCTGAGTAACAATTCTGTGTCCCTCAGTAACAATTCTGTGTCCCTCAGTAACAATTCTGTGTCTGTCCCTGAGTAACAATTCTGTGTCCCTCAGTAACAATTCTGTGTCCCTCAGTAACAATTCTGTGTCTGTCCCTCAGTAACAATTCTGTGTCCCTCAGTAACAATTCTGTGTCCCTCAGTAACAATTCTGTGTCTGTCCCTGAGTAACAATTCTGTGTCTGTCCCTCAGTAACAATTCTGTGTCCCTCAGTAACAATTCTGTGTCCCTCAGTAACAATTCTGTGTCCCTCAGTAACAATTCTGTGTCTGTCCCTGAGTAACAATTCTGTGTCCCTCAGTAACAATTCTGTGTCCCTCAGTAACAATTCTGTGTCTGTCCCTGAGTAACAATTCTGTGTCCCTCAGTAACAATTCTGTGTCCCTGAGTAACAATTCTGTGTCCCTGAGTAACAATTCTGTGTCTGTCCCTGAGTAACAATTCTGTGTCCCTCAGTAACAATTCTGTGTCCCTGAGTAAACAATTCTGTGTCCCTCAGTAACATTCTGTGTCTGTCCCTGAGTAACAATTCTGTGTCCCTGAGTAACAATTCTGTGTCCCTCAGTAACAATTCTGTGTCCCTCAGTAACAATTCTGTGTCTGTCCCTGAGTAACAATTCTGTGTCCCTGAGTAACAATTCTGTGTCCCTCAGTAACAATTCTGTGTCCCTCAGTAACAATTCTGTGTCCCTCAGAAACAATTCTGTGTCTGTCCCTGAGTAACAATTCTGTGTCCCTCAGTAACAATTCTGTGTCCCTCAGTAACAATTTTGTGTCTGTCCCTGAGTAACAATTCTGTGTCCCTGAGTAACAATTCTGTGTCCCTCAGTAACAATTCTGTGTCCCTCAGTAACAATTCTGTGTCTGTCCCTGAGTAACAATTCTCTGTCCCTGAGTAACAATTCTGTGTCCCTCAGTAACAATTCTGT